CTTCTCCTTTGATTTTCAATTTTTGTTTTCTTCTCCGCGAGGTGCAAAAAACGGAGATATGGATACAAATTTGATTTGTTTCGGTTGAACTTGGAATATTTAATTTTCCACATACGACGCCAATTTGATGAGCCAAAATAATCGACTCATCGAGATTGCCGGTTGAACCGCCTCATCTCGATTGCATGAGAGTTCGGACATCTCGATCGCCTTCGTCTTCAAGAACCGGATCGACCTGCAAAGCGTCGGGGCGGGCCCCGGCGTAGACACTCCAACGACAAGTCAGCAAATGTTTTATCGTGTATTTCAATAATCTTAAGAGCTTAGGATTAAAAAATGAACCTAGTCCCTTATTTAGAAGGGATTTAATGACTTACTCCCCAAGATAATGAGTTTCCTCCATAAATCAGAATTCTGATGTCCCTTAATAACTGTGTAGATATACACCAACTTTCATGAATATCTTTAACTAATACCGTGTATCACATAAATTAGCTCTAAGCTTCTTTGGACCGGCCTATCCGAGCTAACTGCTCAGGCCGGTCCATCGAGTTATTCTTCGTGCTACATCACATATATTAAAATTATGAGGTAGTAACATTAAATTTTGTCATAAAATCGGTCAACGACGTGGCAGTATGTATTGTTCCTTCATAATACTAGTACGTACCCCGTGCGATGCACGGGACAAAGATATTAAATGAGTTATTTTCATGGCTTTGTCCATTTAAGTCTAAAAAGTAATAGGGTTATATGCTTTTTTCCACATCTTTTAACCAACGTTGCTTTTTTTAGTTAGAACATTAAATATAAGCATGTTAGGGCTAGCTTGTAAAATAATTAATATATTACCTCACTAAAATATTCATACTAATGCAAATTTTATTTTAGCATATAAATTTATCCGTTGATATAAGAAAAAAAAAAACAATTTTACTTATTCTTGTTAATCATATAATATTTATTTATTATTTTATTACATAATAAAAAATGATACTGTTAAATAGTGTAGTAGAATTGTTATAAAAATTATATGACCTATTATTTTTTACAATATGGATTTAATATCTTTTTATGATTTGATAATATAACTATAATATATTATTATTGATATAATAATATGAGATATGAATTTACATAATACTATGAATTTATTCTTTAATGTTAAGATATTGAATTAGGTAATATATGATTTACTAATTTGTAACATGTCTCTTTTTATATTGAAAATAATCATGTGATTTAGTAGAGATAACAATTATCTATAAATTCCTTCATTTAAGGAATAATTTTTAAATTGGTCCAAGTGTTGAATGCGGTCCGATTTTCTTGTAACTAAAAGGAGAAGAGATTTTGAATTTCAAATTTTCACTTCAAAACCATACGTAAATATGAATACATATTTTATTAAAAATGAATTCAACAAACCCATACTTGTAGGACATTTAATGCTACCCTATTTTATGATTTAAAAAATTTAAAAACTTTCTAAATATGGTGTGCAATTAATTACGAGTAAACATTTTTTCCTACTAATTCTAGTAAATGGAATGACTTTTTATATAAGTATAGATGCGAAATATAAATATAGATGCAAAGAATACTACTTAGGAACCGTAATTTTATCCGAAATTATTATATATGCAGTGCCAATTTTCATTTTGTTTATTGCAATTACTTGGATCAACGAAGGAGCAACTGACAAAATATTGGCTAACTGAACGGAAAAATACACCGAGTCGTCACTCAGGGGCGGAGCTACAACCAACATGACCTGGGCTGTAGCCCAGGTAGATTTTTTTGCTCTTTAGCAGCTAGGGATGCAGCCCGTATATTTTTTTATATCAGATTTTATACTTTTTTTTTTCTTTAGCCCAGGAAACTAGTTCCCCAAACACAAAATGAGCCCACTCAGCCCATTAATAAATAACTTATACATAAAGGAAATATATCTAAAGTTAAAAAAATCTCTCGTTAGGAATGAGTCTACTCAGCCTAATAATAAATAAAATACACATAAACAAAAAAAACTCCTCATTAGTCATTATTCATCTGCTTGAGTATACAGTGTGCCAACTGCCAAAAACCTCTCGTTGTCAATCGTCTTCGACAGAAAAATTGGAAAAAATTATCTCAATTTATTAATCAATATAAGAGGTCCCCTCCGCCATCTAAATGTGAGTATATTTGTTATTTTTTTATCATGTTAAAATGACTTTTAACATAATGAAATTGAAAATTATGTTGAGTAAATTACTTATTGCTTTAATTCTTTGCTGATAAAATATTAGAACTGAAAATTAGGTTCAGTAAATTACTTACTGTTTTAGTTATTTGTTGATAAAATATTGGAGTTAAAAATTAGGTTGAATTCACAATATTGTTTTTATATTAATGTCCAAGGAGATTTAATTTTTAGTTTTTATTATATTTAATAAATCAATTTATTTTTATAATTGTGGGGGTTCGAATAGCTTCATCATTAAAATAAAATAATGGGTTTACTCTTTTTTTTTTTTTTATTTAACATTTGTTATTTTTATGCTAGATAAAGAAGTTATGTATAAGAACTAAGACAACAAAGTTGTTGGAATGCGGTAAAAAATGTATTTTTTTTTTTACCATTTGTTGTGTATATTTTTTTTTTTTAACAAAATAATACTAGCCCGGGAAGGTTTTAAATCTTGGCTCCGCCCCCAGTCTGTCACTTGAGGAGAAATGACATCATCTCCCTCTCCCTCGAATCTAATATCACTAGATTCAATTATGAACAACGGAATAGTTTGGCTGAAGATTTGGATTTTTTATTTATTTTTTCTTTATATATATCTTTGAAGGAATGATCATTATTATTCTTTAATCTTGTTAATATGGACATTATTATAGTAATTGGTTGCTTTTATTAGGATTGTTTGTTTTTTTTAGCCCGCCACGGTATCTAGAGCTATGCTCCGATTAGTCAGTTGGTCGACCTGGTTCGCACACCTAGTAGTGGTTAGCTTAGCGTAATGATGCTTATACTTAAAAAAAAAAAAAAATCATTTGAGGAATGAGACATTATGTTATAAGTTTTGTTACTTTTCCCGATTACTTTTCTACGTTGATTTAATTTTATTTCCTATTGTTATTATTTTATAACCTGATGTAAAAATACTGTTCTAAAAATCGGCCTAGGCGCCCGCCTAGGCGGCGCCTAGGCGCTAGGCGGTACCCTGGCGCCTCCGATTTGCACAAATCGGCAGAAAAAATCGGCCAGGCGGCTAGGCGGGCCTAGGCGGCGCCTAGACGGCCCTAGGCGCTCCTAGGCGGCCTTGGCGGGCTCGGCGGCCTTGCGGTTAGGCGGCGCCTAGGCGGATCTAGGCGGGCTCGGCGGCAATTTTTCAGTTTTTTTTTTTATTTTTTTTTTAATTTTTTTAAATATTAATTACATTATTTGTTCTCATGTTTTCTTTAAAATAATCAATTTGATTATTGAGACTTAAGTGTGTCGATATATTATAAGTTGAGATAATTTTATTTTGTAGGTAGTTAAAATAAATAAAAAATAAGGTACTTAATATTGATTTCTAGGCCCCGACTAGGCGCCGCCTAAGCCCCGCCTAGGCGCCGCCTAGGCCCCGCCTAGTCGCTCTAGGCGCTAGGCGCTGGTCGAGCGCCTAGCGGCCGCCTAGCGACTTTTAGAACATTAGTAAAAAGTGATTTTTTTTTTTTTTTTCCTTTTCTTCTCATTTTCAAGCTTACCTTGGTGCTATATAATAAACATAGTTAGTGCATGTACTACTAATTGATCATGTACTTTTGCTACAATTGGTGCGTGCTTTGAACAAGTAGATGCATATATATATATGCTTTTAGAAATTAATTATAGAAGAACAACATAATTAAGAAGCAATTATGATTGATACCATTATTATTGCACTAATTTTCTTCTAAGTCAAATAAATACTCGACTAATATCATAGGCTACAAATCAAGTTCAGGCTTTTAATAGTCTTTTAAATTAGCTCTCATTACGGTCCCTACAATTATTAATATTCATTGAATAAATAAAACTGTAAATAATAGCAAACGTACAGACAATTTTGCTTTTTCTTTGGACAATGAGTGAGTGTGAGTGAGTCCTCACACACAACACACACACACACACACACATTATAACTTTTCTCCTTTCTCTTCACCCAAAAAAGGCGTACATAATAATATTCAGAAACACAAATAGGCCCACAGGTTGAAGAACAAACTGGTCCAAATTTCCCTTGAATACTAAGTAGTAGTAGTATATTATTAAGCCAAACATTATATTATATTATATAATAAGAAAGATGATATAGGGGAATTCAAAAATAAAATAAAAATAAATAAATAAACAAAGATTGACAGAGTTTTTGACACAGGATCCTCCTATGATACACTTTAATCATGCTAGCTTCTTTTTTATTCACAGTCATGCTTTACTTAATTTAAAACAGTGGTCCAAAATCTCCACATTATATTATATAGAAGAGAAGAGTAACATTGCATTCCTTAAATTGTGATGATTTCACCTTATTACTTAATTCAGTTTAGTACATAAAAAGAAGCAAAGTTGTGGAGCTAATAAAGTGAATACTATGGAATTAAGACTGTAATATGAAGGAAGACCTTTAGACTTGAATAAACTTCATTGTTATCACCAAGTCACTTTTTTTTCTGTTTTTTTGTTCTGTTTTTTCTTTGTTTTTTTCATGGATGGGACTCTGTTATTACACACTATATACAGTGACTTGATGAAAGTACTTTTTCGTTTTAACAAGTTAGCCTGCCTGTTTGGTGGTAAAACCAAGTTACTCTGATGATTTATATTTAATTAGCAGTGATTATGATTTTTATAATACCACCATTTTACATGACACACCATAGTTTGATTCAGCAACAAACAAGAAAGAAACTAGTAGAAATCAATCAAGAAAAATATAAAAATAACAGCTGGGCTTATAATTATTAACTCCTTCATCCTACTCTCAAGCGGGTGCCGATTTGCGCACTACATATCGGTAAGCAGCCACTTTCCGGCACCGGGAGGCTGTGTTATCCACCGATAGCACCAATTTTCCGGCCTGTGGGGCCGCAAACGAGTTGTGGACCGACTCATCGTCTGCTCCCATTCGCCGCTGTTTCTCCACCACGATCGTGTAGCTGCTCTGAGCATTCGGCACAAATTCGGCACTGTAATCCAATTCCCAGCCCCCAACAACTAGGTCCCATGCTATTGTTGAACCACCCTAAATCAATCAATTTATAAAATTATTTTAATGAAATTGCAAATTTCAATCATGTATGAAAAGAAGATCAGGTCTCTGAACTTTTTTTTTTTTTTTTTTTTT